GCAGCCACAACAGCAGCCACCACGGCAGCTACCACAGCAGCCACAACTACGGCAGCCACCACGGCAACCACGAGCACGATTGCCACGACCACTGCAGCAGCGGACGGCGTTTGGGAGTTCAGCCCGGATCCAGGTGCCTAAAGTCTTACCACGCACGCCAGACTTCATGGGCCATGACCACACAACACATGCCTAGATGCAAAAAGAGATGTACCAAGGCACATCGTAGGTGTTTGCCCAGTTTGCGCAGTTTGCAGGAGGGGCATTGTCCCTGTCGAAACCCAGCCCTTCTTTGCCGGTCAGGAACCTGCGATGATGTATGCGGAGTCGACAACTGCGATACCCAAAAGCAGGAGCAGCTTCAAGGAGCAGAGCCTTGGTTTTGCTTAGGGTGGTTTTCACTTTGCGCCGCGTGAAAGTTTTTCTGGGGGTAAAATGTTGCTTTGTTTCCGCGTCCTGAACAGCGAGTCCAAGGATTTGGTGGCTGTGTCTACAAGCTTGGGCTCGCCGTGCACTCTTCACCCTCCTGTTAACTGGGGAGCTGCCCCTTTGTGGCGGGAGGGCACGTGCTTCCCTTATGGGGGGGGTGCGGGCACCGCCGGGCGAGACGAAATGTTCTTCCACACCCCCATTCAATGCGGGCCGCCTCGATTTGCTCAAAAAGCTTGCATGTGAATGTTTCCCAGTTTGTGACCGCCAGAGAGTGTGGATCTTTATCGGGGACAGGCTGTTGGAACGATTTCAACTCATGCTTTTCAACTAAAGCTTCGCTTGATGCCCAGGAAAGCGCATTTGCTACTGCTTTACAACGACTACCACGAGCACCACCACTACAGCTGCTGACGGCGTTTGGAAGTTCAGCCCGGATCCAGGTGCCTAAAGTCTTACCACGCACGCCAGACTTCATGGGCCATGACCACACAACACATGCCTAGATGCAAAAAGAGATGTACCAAGGCACATCGTAGGTGTTTGCCCAGTTTGCGCAGTTTGCAGGAGGGGCATTGTCCCTGTCGAAACCCAGCCCTTCTTTGCCGGTCAGGAACCTGCGATGATGTATGCGGAGTCGACAACTGCGATACCCAAAAGCAGGAGCAGCTTCAAAGAGCAGAGCCTTGGTTTTGCTTAGGGTGGTTTTCACTTTGCGCCGCGTGAAAGTTTTTCTGGGGGTAAAATGTATTGATTATCACGAGCCCTATTTGGGTTTACGGTTTGGGCAGCGTGTTTGCGCAAGAGCTTTTCCAACGCATAAAGTGAAGATACCTGAAAATCGATGGTCCGCAATGTGCGGTGCTGAGTTTATATGAAAAAATAGTTGTACCGGCGACGCTGGGACTCTTTTTTTCTGCGAGAGGTCACGAGTTTACGTTGGCTCAAGCTGGCTTCTGGATCTCCAGCAAAATGTGACTCTGTCCCAATATGAGCGTGACTTACTCTAGAACTCTAGCAGTTGTGTCACCTCACAAGCAAACTACGCCACATACCAACTTCATCTACCTTTATACCAAAAAAACGAAGGATACATAAGTTCAGCATAAGTTCCCAAAGTGTATGCAAGTAGTTCAGCATATGTTTCCTGAGTTCTGCATAATATGCTGAACTCGTTCTTATCTTAGTTTAGCAAGTTCAGCGTATATGCTAAACTTTCTGCAGGCTCAGCATAACTTGCATACGCATGCTAAACTTATGCTGAACTTATGCTGAGCTATGCTAAACTTACCAAGCTATGCAAGAGTTATTCTATTCTAATATGTTCTTCGACCACGCAACTTTACGAGGACTTAGTTGTAAGTCCACACGACCGGCGCTTGGTCTGCAGATTCTTTGCAAATTGTATTGTTGTTTATTGAATGCTTAAACATATTCTTGATCTTCTGAAATATCCTGTGCCTTTCTTGCAATGCATTTCCTGCGATACAAAAATGACATCAACAAAAATGCACATAACCCAAAAACGAGGCTTTGAAAGTGCATAAAACCAAACGCTGTAAAAAACACACCTCTGAACCCAACATGGTTCGTCGAAATAGACCTCGCGATAATTAGTAGTAAAATGTTGCTTTGTTTCCGCGTCCTGAACAGCGAGTCCAAGGATTTGGTGGCTGTGTCTACAAGCTTGGGCTCGCCGTGCACTCTTCACCCGGGTGTTAACTGGGCAGCTGCCCCTATGTGGCGGGAGGACACGTGCTACCCTTATGGGAGCTCCGGGCAACAGCGCATGCTCTGTTACATCCACATTCAATTCGGGCTGCCTGGATTTGCTCAAAAAGGCTTGCGTTTTATTGTGTTTTGATGTTTCCCGTGCTTGCGAGTTTGTCACCGCCAGAGAGTATGGATTTTTATTTGATTTGTTTAAACGGTCTAAACAAGTTGTTCCGGCGACAGGCTGTAGGAACGATTTCAACTCATTCTTCGCCCAGGAAAGCGCATTTGCTACTGCAAAAGCTCGTTCATCCAGATCGACGAAGACGAGGTGAAGGGGTTTCAACTTGTGCAAGTTTCTGATGCACCTTGGCTGAGATCTGGAAGGAATGAAGACCTCAAGAGTTGAGTTTGGGGGTGTTTTTCTTTTGGTGCAAGCTTGCTTTTTCATGGGCAACTTTACCTTTGACTCAGGATAGCTCGAACGAAGAAGACGAGCCCAAGGGGTTTCAACTTGTGAAAGTCTCTGATGCACCTTGGTTCTGCTCTTTTGGGACCTGTGGAGACCTATACATATGCCATCATATGAATCGAACTGTATGCCACTAAAAGGTCTTTTGGTTTTGGTGCATGCTTGAATGGGGCCAACATTGCCAAAGGACAGCTCGAGCATGGATGCTGCAGTCTTCTCCAAGATGGTCCGTTTTGAATCCAGCTGCACCGACCCACAGGAATGCTTCGACATCTATCGCTTTGGTGGATGTGTTTTGGGCGTGACTGGTCCGGCCACTGACCAGATGTACTGGGGAGTAGTGACCCTGGATGATTCCTACCCAACAACAGTTCGTTGGAGAGAGCAGGATCCTTCACCAGTTCCTTTCGCAGGACACACCGTGGTGGTCACTGACAGGGATCATGCCTTGGTGCTTGGTGGCGTGAGCTCCTGCAAAGACGATTCTGCTACCTACATGAACTTTCTGTGGCAGTGGAGTAGGACAGATGGAACGTGGGACCAACTAGCTCCCATTCCAGAGCCTTGCGGCCTCGCGTTTCACACGGCGAACTATGACGAGTTCATCGAGGATGGGATGATGGTCTTTGGTGGTCGTCGTGGAACATCTGGGTCACGGTGCGATTCCACGACTCCAAGAGTTTCGAGCACTCTTTGGTTCTTCGACATATCGACGAAGACCTGGACGGAGCGACTGGGCGAGAACTGAAGAAGCTGCTGCAGGCAGCAGCTATCAGCAGCTAGTGATAGTTGTTTACATAGAGGATCTTAGATGATCTTAGAGCTTTTGTAGATGGACTGTTAGGACGGAGAACCGAGGAAGACAACAAGTGGCGATGTACACGGTGTGTGGGGGCATGCGAGCACCTTTTTCTTCTCCCATGGACCTGAAGAATGGACCGGAATTTTCCTCCATGGCGGCCGCCTGCAAGACGGATCCACCGATAACACTTTCCGTTTTTTCTCCACTCTCGCTGGTACTTGGATGCACTTGGACGCTGGGGGATCTTGGGTGGGATCGTGCGTCCTCAATCTAGAGCCAAACGAATCAAGATTGAGATATGAAGGTTTCTTGCGCCTTGAAATGCTCGTGCCTAGAGCACAAAGATCGGTCAAAAGATTAGGGAGCACACAGCGATCAAGATTACAAGTCCAGACTCTAAAGCTAGGCACGTCTGTTGTCGAAAAGTTGCTTTTGTTTGCTTGACTTCGTGCAGCCCCAATCCAAGCTTTGTGGCTTCGGCCCGCCATGGGCGACAACAGTTCTGTGTGATTGTTTTCAGCAATGATTGCTCGCCCCCCGTCCAGCCATATATATATATATAAACATGTTTCAGGTCTGGCAGGCTTGGGTGAACACGTATTCATTACTGCCATAGGTTTGAACCAACGAATGTTTTGGCTCAAGTGCCTTGGCCAAAATAGCGTTTGTTCTCTCTTTTTGAGGGCGGAACCCTTGGAGAGACATTTTCTTTTTTGTGCAGGGAGGGACCCTGTTTTCCCATGAGCGAATTGGGAACCAGCCTGGCTGCCCACACCAGGTACCAGGTGATCCATGCCGCCGCGTGGCTGGAGTTCAGCGCTCACCTTCAGGAGCTGGTTGCTGAGGGGCGCGAGCGGGACGCATTGCGCCTCTGGGCCTCTGTGGTGGAGTTGGTGCACTTGGGGTCTCCAGGGCAACCCCTCTCCATCGCTGGGCTCCCCCCGGTTCGTCGGTTCGTATGCACTAACATTCCGTGTGCGAGGTGCACCGACCGTCGGGGCGGCTTCCAGTTCCCATGGGTTGGTGTGTGGAACCGTCACTGCTTGCTGGTTCAAGAGGGACTTGGGCCAGCCGCCGCGTGGCAGCGATACCATGCCTCTGCGGCACGCTTGGACCGCCTGGCGCTGCAGTGGATTGCATCGGACCTCGGCCCCTTGGACATTTTGCCAGTCCACGTGGGTTTGGCCGTGGAGCGGTTGGACCTGGGGGACGATGGCATGGACCTCGAGGAGTTCTTCATGCTGGTCCGGATCTGGCAGCAGGGGAGGCGGCCATGGCGGGAACCATGGTCGTCCCAGGTGGGGGTTCCGGGCACCTCTCGCGAAGTCGCGAATGCTGGGCGAGCCCTCCGTGCTATACTGGGAGCCGTGGCCACCGACATTGAGTACATCCCCCCCCTCTGCATCCTTTGTCGCCTCCCCACGTTCGAGTCTTGTCGAGTCTGCCGATCGGTCGTGTGTGAGAGCTGCAACTTCTGGACGAGGCAGTGCCCGCTTTGCATCGACAGTTCTGGCTCAGACTAGTGCAATAGTCCTTGCAGGGCTCATGGCTGACAGCGGGCGCTATGCAGCAGAAGCGGCTGACCTGGGAGCTCCAGGTGGGACCCGGAGACCTGCTGAAGTGGCTCAAGCTGCGGGAGTCCGCGAGTTCCGGGAGCAATACCACCTCCTGGATGATGCGGACTTTGCCTTTGCTTTCCGCTCGGCCGAAGAAGCTATGCTTGCGGCGGGACGCGGCTTGGCTGAGGCCTGGACTAAGGCCCGCGCTGAACAGACAGACGAGCTGATGCCACTTACAGTTAAGGCCGGCTCCAGTCGCGATCGTCCGACACCTTCCATCCGCTTGCCTGCACCTCCGGTGCCTGTCCGGAAGGGAGTGACCCTTTCGCAACAGGCATTCAGCGCCGAGAGTGTGAACCGGCGGGTGGACGCGCTTGCCAAGGTCTTTGAGGACGCAGAGGCATCCATCGCCCCTCGGTCGGGAACCTCTCGGATGCGATTCTGGCTGAGTGGAAACTCCAACTTCAGCGATTGGCGCAGGTCAAAGTGACCAAATCGGAACCTCAGACTATAGTGAACGCGGTCCGCACTTGGGGGGAACTCGTCAGCTTTATGCGCTCCACAGGACAGGACTACGATTGAGCACCTGGATTTGGCTTCGTTCCTGGCCTCCGGATCGAGAGGACCCAAGCGCGCGTTAAATTGACACTCTTGTGAGACACTCTTGCGGGACACTGTTGCGCGACACTCTTGTGGGACACTCCTGTGGGACACTCATTTGGGACACTCTTGCGGGACACTCTTGTGGGACACTCTTGTGGGACACTCTTAAGGGACACTCTTGTGAGACACTCTTGCGGGACACTGTTGCGGGACACTCTTCTGGGACACTCCTGTGGGACACTCATTTGGGACACTCTTGCGGGACACTTTTGTGGGAC